TCAACAGGTTCCTATCATCATTCCCATCTTCATTCTCTGTGCCTCAACATACCTCGTGATAAATAACAGTCCCTCATATCCCTGTAATAACACAACACAATATATTATATTATCTTTCAACAGGTTCCTATCATCATTCCCATCTTCATTCTCTGTGCCTCAACATACCTCGTGATAAATAACAGTCCCTCATATCCCTGTAATAACACNTTTCAACAGGTTCCTATCATCATTCCCATCTTCATTCTCTGTGCCTCAACATACCTCGTGATAAATAACAGTCCCTCATATCCCTGTAATAACACGACACAATATATTATATTATCTTTCAACAGGTTCCTATCGTCATTCCCATCTTCATGCTCATTGCCTCAACATACCTCGTGATTGCTCCTATAGTCGCCAAGCCCTTGGGTTCTCTCATTGCTTTATTGATTGTCGTTGCTGGACTTCCCTTTTATTTCTTTTTCAAGTCTAATTTGGTTCCACAATGGTTCAGAAATGCTATTGGTAAGTTTGTATGCTTGCACTGTAGATAATAAGCAATTATTGCATGAGGTTGAGCATGATATCGTAAATTATCAAGACCAAGGCTGTGTCATCTGCTGAAGCCGAAGACTGAGGCAGATAACACAGCCAAGGTCTTGATATTTACGATATCATGCGATACCGAATTCAATAATTGCTTTATTATACAATTTGTATACTGGAAAAAAATTAACATGAACATTAAATTATAGAGACAAGAATTATGAACGCCATGATGTAGCGTGAAAAATGCAAAATTCTTAATTCAGAAATATTTTGAGAATTCTTCATAAAATATATGAAAATAAATCAAGGATTCCTTAAATAATTGTTTTTGTACATAATTCTGGAAATAAATACACATAATGAATAAAAACAAAGCTACCACAACATAACCTTGAATGAACTTGACATGATAAATGTATTATCTGTAGGAAAACCTACAGATAATACATTTATCATGTCGAGTTCACACGATATCAGGGATTGGCTGAGGGCTCTCGACCAATCAGAATTGAGATACTTAGTAAAATGTAAAATAATACTTAGTTAATTTATTTTCCCTCTCCCCTATCGGAAGATATGCATTGCTTCTATATCACTATGGCTAAAAGTGATATGTCTGTTTATTTGATTACTTCCTGATTACTCAAAAAGATTTTTTTCCACTCGTTTTCCTTTTTTCTAACCAACGGCTAATAGGAAACACTAGAATTCCTCGTTTGTATATGACGTCGTGGCCGCCATCTTGGTTGATTTTAACAAAAGAATTGTCAATGAATTCTTCTGTTATATCAACCAACATGGCCAACATGTCTTTCGTTATTAAACTCCTTTGGGAATGATCGAAAAAACTATGGTTTTACCTCTACCTGAAATAAATAGAACTTTAAAAAGCAATTTCTCTCAAGAAGAATATTGTCGGCATTTAAAGCTACCTGACCCCTCCCGTCCCCCCTTGGGAATGTTCGAATATGGTTAAAGGTTATCTCTAAGTTTATTCAACTATTCAAAAACGGTGTTTGATTTCTAACTTCTAAATCCATTTTCATACCTATCTGTCAGTAAAATGCCCCACTTTATTAAAAGGCGACAATAACGACCTGCAAATGCGTTGGGTCAATTTACTTTAAATATGGTATTGGCGATAGAAATATACTCATTCAATTGGAAAACCTTAGGGTTGATGTAAGTCAGGGCACGACAAGCTCCCACTCGGATTAGGGCTCAGAAAAGTCTGTTTGGAATTTGCTTTTTCCAGACAATGCCAGATTAGGAGTATGTCCGAATATTTCTAAACTCGTGAATTTCGTGGCCACTATTTCTTTTTAAATAATCGAGATTCCTGGAATTCCTGTATGGGAAAAGCTACATAAATGCAAACTAAACTGCCAGTTAGCCACCTTGGCGTACTTTAAAAAATAATTAGCCACATCAAACTGATAGAAGTAAATCTTTTTGTAATGTTACAAACTTTTTTAAAAGGTCTTCAAGTTTACTTTATATTTAATCAATGTATTCAGCACACAAACATTTATTATCAATATTAAGTGAAAATTAAACGCTATATTCGTGTTTTTTTTCAGATGACTTCACGTATGGATCTCAAAAAGTCTTCAACATCGCGGAAACCGAACCAAACGATGATTAGAACTGTCGTGAGTATTTTGTTCAAGACTCGTTTAGTCTGTGCATCAACTGGTAGGACTTCAGTGTTTTCCATAAAATCTTGTATGGAGAGAGATTGAGAATGAGTAATTCCAAAGCTCTCCAAACAAAACTCATAGCACAGAAGAAAAATTACCAGAGCTCTAAAGAACTTGTTAAACTTACTAAAACTGTGAAGTTTGAAGGAAGTAAGTTCAAAAATCGCGAAGATATAAATGTGCAAAAATGTTTAACTTTGTATGAAAACATTCGTTGGTGGGAAAAAGTTGCCTGGCAGCAAAGGTTTTCTTACAAAAACTTACTTTTCAAAAATCATAACTTCGCGAGTTTTGACTTTATTTCCTTCAAAACTTTATCATTTTCTAATTCTTACATGCTCTGTCCATTTTCGGTAATTGTTTAACTGAATCTTTTAATAATTTAAAAACGCCTCATAAAAGCTTATAAGAGCACCTTTCATGTTTCTACTACTCAGACAGCTCTGGACGCGGCAATTATTCTAATGTCTTACTAGGCTTAATTTTTTAGAGTTCTGAAAGACTCAGAAACGCGAAAAGCGCTCTATTCCAAACGTAATGTTTTTCCTATTGGGTTCAAGACTTCAGTGGGTTCCAAAAACTTCTAGCCGTGTTGCTTCTTGGAGCTTTCTTGGAGTTTTAAGACCCTGATCTCTGTCAAATGTTATTCACAGGTACATCTGAAAAGATGGATATCCATTTCCATTAGTACGCGACCCAGACAACTAGCTATTTGCTATGCCAAGGTTGCGAGTTGGTATTGCAGTGCATTATTGGACTGCTTTAGAGGACGTAATAGAGCAGTTTTCGTATGACCGTGAAAAGCCCACGGCACGAACACGGTCGTGACACGGCAAGGCGTTCGCCAGACCAATCACCTTGCGCGAGAATTTATTCTCCATCCAATCGAATACCCGTAACATGGCATGAACACGACACGGACACGGTCACGACAAGGTCACGGCACTGTCAGACCAATCACATTGCGCGAGATTAGCCAATTAAAATTTTAAAAACTCACGATTAAGGCACTGCACRCTTACGACACTGCCGAATTTCCCACAATGCACTGTAATGCCAACTCGACCCAGTCTATTTCTCTATTTAAGACAATTTAGGATTTTGGCTTCCGTCAATTAAATTTCCAACTGCTTCAGTCGAGTATAGCCAGACGTCTTGGGTAGCCTGTGTTGGTCGAGTAACAATGAAAAAGGGTGTAATATCGTTTAACTAAACTGTTATGAAAAAAAATCACTTGTAGTAGGAAAATAGCAGATTAAATTTCGATTTGTTTTACTTTCCTAAAGGAAGGCTAAGATATTATGAATATTCTAGGTAAAGTATTCTTTGCATTTTAAAGGTTTCTCAGCTATAAATCTAGTTAAATAATTTAATTATCACTTAAGCAATTAATTTAAATTGATTAGATCACTTGCATTTATTAATTTTTTTAAAGAATAGCTTATGTTGAAATATAGCTCAAAATGTCGTATTTCTACTTTCCTAAGTGAARGATAAATAGTCACGTGATAGGAAGACCTTTCTGCGTTGTTTAGACAGCGAGTTGTCGTCCCTCGACTAAATAACTATCATTTTGATCAAGGGTAGTTTCAAATGGTCAAAATTTTTACTGAATCGCCAAAAGGGCTTCTCGCATTGTATTTTCGTCATTTTCGCAATGAATACTTTATAGTGCGAAATTGATTCTTAGATTGTTCTTCACAGCACACAGTCATTTTTCTAGTTTCAACAGCTTTTTCATTCACTCATATTCATTCAAATGCAATCGCTCGACGAATTTTGATATTCTACAGGGGAGAACATCAGTAATCCAATAAAAATTAAAATCTTAGTTTCGTCCACACGTATTCGGATATTTTTAAAAGCGGATTTTTTTCTTCGCGGATTGGACTTCGATTCACACATTTTCGGTAAGCCACTTGGAAAGCAACTTTTTAATAAAGGATACGTGTAGAGATGCTAAAACGATTCGAAAACGCCGCGTATGGATGAGAATTTTTACAAAAACGGAATAAAAAAAAGCCATTATTTCAAAATTATCCCGAAACGTGTGGACGGGGCTCATAGAGAACACCTTCAATCACTCTTTTTCGTCGCTTCATTCTTCATTGTCTTTACATATTGTAATGCACGTGTGAGTCGTCTATTGTAAATTCAGTTGAGAAAATATATTTGTAAAGTAGTATACATAGCGGCACTATTTACACACAAGCAAACACACAAGTTACTCCTTGGCACTAAACTGGCTTCCCATTACATTTTTTCATGCGTTTTATCCAATCATCTCGTGTAGTTAAATTTTAACAGTGAAATTAATATACTTTAGTAGCATCAAGAGATCATGGTCTATTGGTAGCATATATTAATACGCCCATCTGTGCCGAAGTCTTAGCGCATAATTCTGACAGTAGTGCCTATGACGTCAGGAATGCGTGTAACAAACAATTGCGAGACCTTTTTTCTGCATTCATGGTTCTATGTTTAGTAAAAATGTTTATTTTCTCAAAGATTATGTTTTTTTAAATGAAATTCTTAAATTTTAAGTAGCATTGTATTTTGTGAAATAACTGCTATTGCAGTATATTTCGCGGTTTTCGTTTGAAAGCGAGCATATGGTCTTTGTTTCTAAGTATTCGGACATGAAGTACTACACTTGAACGACTTGACTACTTCTTTGGAAGAAACAAACTACACTATCGAAAATAAAGAAACATAAAAGCTGTAGTTGTGGTACGCATCCACAAAAACTATGGCCCCGCTTTCAAAAGGGAACCAAAATTTTTTTTCAGCTGTAGTCACAGCTATCTTAACGTAAATACTTGTGTAGAATGATCCATGTTTCACATCGGATTTCGTATGAGTGGGAATATATTCGAACCTCCATTTAGCGACCAACCTTCATTTAGCGACCAACTGACCTCAAGTGACCGCAGAATAGAGGTTTCTCCTTAAAGGTATAAATTGGTGCATAAGTTCCTTATTGGGACTTTTACTCGGACTGGTCGCTTAATTGAGGTTTTCTACTTAATATGTGGTCGCTTTATAGAGGTTATATCGAGTTTAAAGCTCGATCGTTTTCTGGTTTTTGCCTTGTTCCGGTCACTATTAGTGAACTATATATTTGAATTATACCACCACTTGCACGAAATCCGATATGTACCTGAATTTAATAATGGTAATAACAAATTAACATTACGTAAGAACAGAGTCAAGTAGAAGTCGCTTCATGATACCATACTATAAGTTCATTGAAAAGAACGTGATAAAACAGGTAAACAAAGTGGGAAAAAAACCGTAAATGTCATAAAAGTAGTAAATAATTAGATATTATTAACCGAGCGGGAGGTCTGTACGGGATAAATCTTGACCGAGGTCAAGATTATCCCGTACAGACCGACCAAGCTTGGTTGATAAGAGTTTTATTATATGACCACTTTTCATTGAAAAGGACAAAATGTTTTCGCCGTAAGATTAATATGCGATCGGACCGGTTAATACCAGTCCGCGATGCGATCTATCCAATCAGATAGCTCGATTTGCTAGTGTCCAGGCTCTAAGATTCACGGTCATATAATAATTAAAATGTATTAACTAACGATGAAATAAATGTAATTAAACAGTAACACTTGGCTCTATTATTTTTCAACGAATTCTTCACCAATAAAGAGCAATGGGTTGGGTTTTAGACATCAAGAGGAAGGCGATTGGTTTGTCACCGAAATTGAATCGCGAGGTGTAGGATTAGCTTTCATCCTCTACTTTCACAACCCCATAATACTTTGCGTCTTTGGGGGTAACCAGAGGGTAATAACCCACTTACTTCGCTGAAAGCTGATCAGACAATGTTGACAATACCTTGTTTGGTATCCAAAAATAAAATGAAGAAGTAAAAAACAGAAAAAGATAGAAGCTTGAAGACGTTTAACGTAAATTTTAAACATTTTTTCGTAAGTCAATACATTTTCTGTAAAACCAAAACTCTTGATGATCTGTACACGCAAAAATAACTTGGAATAAACTGATAATCAGTATTGTACAGATAAAAGTAGGTATAGTATAAATTCAATTAAGAAACCTTTCAATTTGGGATAGTTTTTTGATTGGTTACCTCCCAAAGACCCAAGGCATTAATGGGGATGTGAAAGTAGAGAATATTGGAAACCCTCTAATGGTCCTTCCACCATGGATCATAAATATCTATGCTTGCACTTATCGCCATCTGGGGGTCAAAATAAAAGAATTCCCTTGTCTTGARGATTGAAATCTTTTTCGACGTTGTTTTTCAAGTTTTGACCCCCAGGCAGGGATTTAGTGCAAGGGGCTATAGACGTTAACCGATAAGCACAATGAAAGATTTTCATCTGGACTGTATATGACGTCACGGCCGCCATGTTGTTTGCCCAAGCAAATTCTTTGGTCTTACGTTAATCAACATGGCGGCCATGTCTTTTCCTCCCCTTGATTTTCCTTATTTTAGGCACGACACGTACTAAAAGTTGCCAAGTGCATACAAAAAAGCTGAATGCTTGATCTCTGATTAGGTGACCTTGTACTTTGTACTTTCATTCTTCACCAAATGAATCGAGACCTCAAAGCTAATATTTCTGCGGGCCAGACAATTCCAGCCGCGATTAGTATTCACGTGCTTAACCAAACCTACAGCGGTCAATTTCTGATTGACGTAATCCAAAAACCCAGACGTCTGTAGTTTGCCTTGGTCGCAGAAACTTGAAAAGCGCTCTAAAAAAGATACGATACAACTACCAAGTATTTTTCTATTGCGCAGGTCTGTGAGGTGTTTTACACCTGCCGACGTCGTGGTCAAGTTGGTCAGGATTCACCCTGTTTCAGGGTGAGGGTGACTCAGTTTTAAAATAGAGAGTTTTAGATTGAATTTTTTTTCTTCCCGCAAACGGCAAACGTGACCACATTTTCATAGTTTTCCTGTATTTTACTTTACCTTTTGCAAACTTTCATATCACAAACAAATATTCTTTTGTTTTTCTACTACTTGGATTTTTTCGCAATTCCTTTTCAGTCATTTGAAACAATTTTTCACTGATCATCTTGCGTTACACGTTTGCCGTGAGCGGCTATCTAAAACCCTCTAATAGCTACATTTATCCTTGAGCGTATACGATTCTTTTGGATGAAACGTAAGCCCGGCAGCTGTCATACCAAAAGTACTCCTCGATAAAACAAGAAAATCGCATTCCGACAACAAGAAGTGATCCAGCAACACTCCTACCATTCCTTCCTTGGACGGCAGGTTTTTCTTACGCCGAAAGAAAGAAATATGCTCGACTTTCACGTCAAGCGACACAAAGCTGGGGTATTTTTTCAACAACAAACGTTTGAGGTTAACATCATCTGAAGCTAAAAAGATGCGTAAGCGTGCCTTGGATATCTGGGGATTTGCTTCGTGAATTGCCTTCTCTAATGCAAAGGTACAGCTTACTATCGTCATATAGTTTCTAGTTCTTATAGATCCCTTTTGGGACATTTTCCCAAATACTGTATCTCCCATACGAATGTGCATGCCAATAGTAGGCATGCCCTGTCCAATCCCGGTAGACGTTCTTGCTTCCTGCAATCTTTCTTCTATAGCTTTAGTCTTTGCAAAAAGAAAATCAAATGCGCAGCCGATCCAAGAAAACCGACGATCCCCGAGAGACATTTCCGAAAGTTTTCCGTTGAGAAATCGATTTTCTTTTAACGCGTCTACAAAATACCACATCGCTGTGACGATTTCTACAGGACGATCGAAGTGTGTCCGGAAGTCAGTCTCAGTGATAAAATCCTTGAAATGAGAATGGTCTTTAAACGGTCTACGGACACCTATCGTTGCTTCAGCAGGATGTCCTGCTCCCCAGTAGCTACGGCTTGAATTCAATCTGTCAATCTTGTCAAGAGAAAAACTCCAATCAATCTTGTTGGGAAGAAAATAGTCTTTCAATGAAATGGAATAGTTCCAATCTATTAGGAAAACTCGGTCTGTTAGAATTGCAAGGAGCAGAAGTGAAGCTATTCCATTCAACCTGTTGCCGTAACCTCCACATCCATAGTCTTTCCCACCGCAAAGGTAAACCAAAAATTTTCCAGGTCTTTCTGAGCGAAGAACTTGTTTGTGGTATTCAACGTATCGCTTCTGCCAACCAACGCCACATTGTTTTCGTTTCTGTTCCTCGTAGAATTCTTTTTTGCCTTGCTTTGAAATCGGAATTACTTTATGGATAAAATGGCCGGAATTCCTTTCTCCATCGTTTGTCATTCGATTCTTATTCGTCCTACCAAGTGGATCCTGCTTATTGCTTCCTTTTCGCGGCTTCCAAGGAAGATTCAGAAACCCATTTCTGGTGCTTGTCCTGCTTGTGCCACTGAAATCGTAAGTCCCTAAAACAACAACAACAACGAAAACTTCACACTTAATCGAACCCTGAAACAATCTTGGCACTGCTGACCCACGAATGGAATTGGAAATTATGTTGGTAAGTTTTGCGGAGGGAGGAAAACCGTAACACTTGAGAAAAACCGACAAAATCTCATCGGTACTTTCATGCGATGCCTATAGTACCAAAACCCCAGAGGTGGGAAGCGAGTGTGATTACCAAATTTGCCTTCAGGGCACAATGGAACTGACAAATGTGATGCCCGCCATGTTGGATGATAATACAAAGTCGAAGTAAACCACAAACGTTCGTAACGTTCCTCCAACATGGCGGCCGCACATCTTTTCATGCACTTAAAAATACTATTTAATTCCCTTAGCTCCCTAAACTCACCGTTCTACCTCATAATGGCTGATGAGCGACCGAATTAAAGAGGTACCCATATGCAGTTATCTTGCAAGGCTGCTTATTCAAAATGAAGGTGGATAACGCGAATTCAGATCAAAAAAGGTCCTTCCAATTTATGTGCTTTCATATTGTGAAATAATGACCTGGTGACCTAGTTTTCGTGCAATTGTCAGCCTTTATGAGAGTGGTGTATAGGAACAAGCGTAGCTCAGTTGCATTCAGAGCAAGTGGTCCACGGTTTTATCTTCAGTACCTCCACACCTGTTTAATCTTTTTTTCTGAGGGGGTAAAAAGTGCGCACCTTCAAGCGCTTTATACCACAGTATTTCTTACTGGTGGGGGAAAAAATCTTAAAACGGGCTAAATTAAAAAATAACCACACAGAGCGAAAGAAGTGTTATTTCTCAATGATCGGATAAATTTCGAGGCTTTATTTCACGTTTCAATGATTTTATTGAAATTTTTGATGAATCTCCATACATTTCCTAATAACATGACACCACAAAAACCAAGCTTGGGCTACCTGTGTTTATACCTTTTACTTAAATTTTAAGACCAAATTTCAAATTTTGCAATCGTATTAACAATTATTTAACATTAAAAGGTTCAACAATGTAGCTTATAGGTGGGATTTCTTTCATCGCATAGGGCTAGCTCTTTCCTCAAAGTGAGAAGACAGCAGGAAGTAAATTCCTTGATGTACTTGTGTAAGTGGTACTAAATAGAACCTAGCTTAAAATCATTGGTCCAAATAAACGGAAAAACATGATCTTATAGTTATGCTACAGACTGTAGCTTCAGTTCATCAGTAAAATTAAGTTAAGATTGGACTTAATGCTTGGAATTCTTTACATTTTACTTTATTTCAAGAAGTCAAATCTCAACATTCAACTATCATTTTGTGGTCACAGTAAAGCTACAGTAAGGTAGAATGTGTGATTGGGAAAATCTATTCAAGCATATGATATGCTTAAAATCGTAATTTTTTATTGCAAAATGCTGTAAAAATATGATGTAATTACCAACTATTGTTTGGCATCAGCTTGGTTCAAAAATTTCAGATTTTAAGTTAACTTTTTTTATTCTTCCTATGGAGTCGTATGTATAAATTCTGTCAATGAGAAAACATGATATACCAAACATACAGATATAATATAGGAACGTGATATCCATAGTCGCCCCACTCCAACAAAATGCATCCCCTCGAGGTATTTCGGTCTACTAAAAGCTTACATCAATCCATGAATTGATAATTAGAAAAGGTAGGTTATCGAGAATCGAGTATCTGCTCAGATCAGAGGTCAGTCTTCATCTGCCCCTATTAAATATTCCTTATACTTCTTCGCCGAGTTGAGTACAAATCAAAGTTCGTCTCTTTTTTGGCTCACTCTCTCCAAAATGTCTAATATGTTTTAGAAAACAAATATAATCAAATTAATCTCGTTATCGTGTTGCTTTTTTCAGGAGTTATTTATTCAGGAGACATTAAAATTTCACATGCCTAATTCAAATCAAAACCTACTGGGGCAGTCTTTCTCCRAAGTTGTGCATCGACGTGGTGGCTGGCTCTTAAGCCCTCTAAGACACTAAGCTCTATCAAAATTTGGTTCAAATTACTTATGACTGTCTGTTGTACTCGTCTTCATGACACCAGGCCAACGACTAGCGACAATCACATCACTTACCATTTGACCATATCTTCGAGAGTATCTTGTAGGAACACAGTGAACACACGAAAACAACTGACAAGGCAACCAGGATTTTGTACTTGGCAATATTTTTCATTTCATTTCGTTGACTTAGCCACGTCGGCCATAAATACTTGAAGTGGCTTCTTTACAGATCTGTTTCATCGGTATTGCTCTTTCTTCGTGCGGAGATGAATATTTAGAACTACGCTATGTATTTCCACACGTGAGTGCTGATTGATATTTCCGAGTGTTTCGCCAATTATTCGCTAAATTTATAGGTTAGTTATAAAGCCGGTTTCGGATTTCGGTTGTTTTGAGACGTGTCGCTCGAAATGCAGCCAGAGACAAATATTCATAAGCGTCGATATGCTGATGTGACAAGCAACAAAGACAAACATGGTTGAACACTGAAGTACCAATGGATTCTCTGGAGACTCGGAAACATAGAAGATAGAATTCAAGGTACGTTAGTAGCTCAGTCATGTGTTTATCATTGATGTTTTATATGAATACAAGGAGGTATGCAATGGCGTTTTGTCCCATCACCTGCTCAAATTTAGTGAGATGGTGGATCACCATGCCCTTTTATTTGCCTGATCCTTTTAGATCARAGAATTCATTTTCCGTTCACGCACAAATCAGTGTCAATAACGTCACGTTAAACTACGCTCTCAACACATCCAAAAATAAAAAGATCACAAAGCAACTAGGGGAGACCTAGCCAACGTCACCATGTGCGCATCGTAATTCGGCAGCCACGAATTTGCCCGTTTTTGACCTACATTGGCAGTCTAAAGCTGGATATTCAGTCTGTTGACAAGGCTGTAGCCACAACCATCAGTAAAGCTGCATGCATTAAATTCAAAAGATTTGATCAGGGTCAGTAACACAGCTTTAAAACTATAGTTATCGACGAACTCCAAAGCACTTCTGGCTGGAGTCCATGTTCTTCATCAGGGCAGTTATAACGTAAACCGTATCATAAAAATCACGAAAACTCTAAAACGAGTCACTCCTTTGATGATTTCTGAATGGGATTAACTAGTTTGTTTTTGAATTGCCTTTTAATCATAAAACATAAACTATTTACGTGTGTCGTAAGAGATTATGTCCACCATCAGTCACATTGGTGGTCAAAAGGTCTTCCTTGAGTTACAGTCAACTGATAAGACATTTCGAGTTAAGTATTTTGCACATAATCAAACTCTGATAAGATAAGTAGTTGCCTTGTATGGAACCGCTTTATTGCATGCCGATAAAATATAAAGATTTGAATATAGGGTTATTGCATTTGAGGTCTTTTTCAGAATACTCCCTTATCGACCTACGATCTCTTACGTGTTTTATTAGCATTGTTTTCCGTAGTTGTCTAGTGTTTGTTCTTCTAATAGGTCTATATTTACGTTATTTATTTACTGTCCTCAAAAATGTCTGCAAAAACCATGTGGTCATTTAATTATTTTTAGTAGTTTCCTGCAAATATTATTCTTTTTTTGTATATACAACTGATATCATTAAGATGGCTGGCGTATGTGCCTCTACAATCAGTGATCGACTTCTGCATGGATTATTTTAACAGGCTTTCATTGGTGCTTCATAGCAAAAGGATTACGGGTGACCCATTGTTACTGAATCACAGGAGCTATTTCATTTTTCCGTCCTCACCAGCATGAGCCTTTCATCAAGACAGCATCTTTTCCTGTCCAAATTTCTCATCTGTGAGTAATAACTGTATTTTCAAAAATCACAAGGGAACTTAAATTTTCCTTATCGATCGTGGAAAGATGTTGCGTGACATCAATTATGAAGTGCTGTTTCATTATTCGAGTCTAAAAGGTTTTCATATTTAACTTAGACTTCATGATATCACTTTCTTGGCAATACAAGAAATATTTGTTTGCATATTTGTTGCTCAGTTTAGGACATTTGGGTTTCTTTAATCCATTTAGGATGACTGAGCAATCGATGTTGCTTGGGCTTCTTCGGCTTACCGCATGACGTAACAGAATGTACTGGATCCAGGCTATTTATAAAGATGTACACTTCCATACGAAACAAACAAAGGACATRATTTTAAAAGCTTCCTTTTTTCTACCTAGTGTTTTTTTAAATGTTTAATAGAGATAACGCGCTTTCATCTCTGATCCAGGAAGTTCCTGACATCTTCGAACTGAAACCGGCGTCATAGTAGACGAGAAGACTTTTTAATGCATTTATAGACTGCTTTTCTCATGATTTCAGGAAAAAACTTTTGTTTTAAATTTTTTCGTGGGCATAAGCAATTCTTAAGGATTTTTTTCGAAAGCTGATAAGCTGCCAATGCTATATTCAATGCCAAACATCGATCTTTCCTTCCATGTAAATGTAACGAAGCTCTTTTTAATAACTGAAAAATATCACTGAATTGCTAAAAGGCTATCAATTTTTTTATTGAAGAAGGAAAAGGAAAAATACCGTCGTAAAAAATTCCAGTTAGGGTGAAGTTCACTTGCCTGTGAGAAAAATGGCGACAATGTGTAAATACTTCAAATGAATATTAATTTTATGAATTCATTATCCCCTCTACGTTTTGTTGAAGCCATGTTAATTACTTTATTTGACAGGAAAGGTATAACGGTTCATTCAAATGGAGAATGTCTTGGAAAACAACAGCAAAGTCGTTTGGGATCTTTCTTGTGGTTGGTGCTCTGCTACTCATTCTTTTTCAGTGGACTTATGTGCGAAATGTCTTCCCAGGTAATATATATAAATACATATTATGTATTTAATATTTTCTAATACTATATATCTAAGCGAAAGTCTATAGTCATTCAAATATGGAAGAGCACAGGTATGAGCCTACGTTTGGCCGATCGTTTTGGCATATACTATGGAACCCCTATTAATACTAATACTCGAGATATGTTTCGTATTTCCTCTATCATAGGCTCCCATATAAGCCCCCTTATAATAAGCTTCAATTTTGATGTGCCAAAAGTGAAATAAGTCCCTAGCATCGATCTAATAAGTCCCCACCCCTAAGGAACGTTTTGGTCCTTTTCCCTTAGCAGTCGAGAATGTGGATAAAAGCTCAGCTATGAATTTACGAAGTCCAGAAAATTTATTAAGCCCCAATGAGTCCCACTTTTCCCTAGCCCCTTATAATAAGTCCCTAGTCCAACAGCACTAAATAAGAAGAAGGCCCCCAGGAGACTGGAAATAGGAAATAGGGTCATTCCATGAATGACGTTTTAATAGCATTAATGATAAAATAATATTAATGAATATTTTATCTTCCAGCAATAAAATCAACCGAATCAATTCAAAATTTAGACGTTCGTCGCAAAGTTAAGACCAGTAGAGATGTACGAGTGAGTCAAAGGAAATTACTGCAAGAATTAAAACTCGTTTTGGTGCAGAGGAAAAACACGACGGCAAGCATGGAAAGTTGGAAAAAGAAGAAAAAACAAATATGCGGTGTAAAATGGCAAGATAAATATAAAAAACTTCATCAAGATATTCTAGAGTCAAGGGTTCCTCCAAGATATTTGGTGTTTAATTGTGGTGGCGTTGGTTACGGATGCGGTGGCTATGGCAACCGAATTAATGGTATCACCTCGTTACTTTATTTGGCTGTATTAACTAAACGTGCGCTTTTAATCGACTGGAAATCAAATATTTCTATCACGGAATACTTCTCACCCAAGAACATTAAATGGGATTTCTCTCAAGCAAAATTACGAGGGCTTAAATCACGGCACCATTTCTGGGGGAAAGGTTTTCACAAGAATGTACCCATTGAGACTGTGCGACCGGGATATACTTTTGATGAAGTAATCAAGTGGTTACTAAAAACCGATCTTGAGCATTACTTTGATCATGAAGTAGAGTACATTAGCACTCAATGGTACTTTGCTCCAGCTATACGTCGGAGTAAATACCTTGGTAAAACAGCTAGAGACGTGACAACAAAACGACGAGGCCACCGGTACTCCTTGATAGGATGCGCATTTGACTTCTTATTCCAGCAAACTCCAATGTTCAAAAAACTTTTGAGTAAAACTCGAAAGTCCTTGAATTGGAAATCTGGGATCCCTAGGATTGGTATTCACTTCCGTGCTGGTGATGTTCCAGCGTTTCGTACTAACAAGAAATCAAAAACACCAATATATTCAGCCTTGGAGCAATTTTTTCAATGCGCGAAAAAGTTGGAAAGGCTGTTTAAGAAAATCGATCCTTCGCTTGACACTTCTTCTATAGAATGGTTTCTGGCCACTGATACCAAAGAGGTTAAATACTACGGAGAGAAAAAGTATCCAAACAAAGTCACGTACCTTGATATCAAAATAGAACATATCTCTATGTCCGACCCCTCCCGTCTTGGGATAGAAGGGGTGCTCTTAGACAATGCTTTGCTTGCTGAGTGTGATATTCTTATCATGTCAGATAGCTCGTTCAGTCGCGCTGCACTCGGTATGGCGTTTCATTCACTTATCGTTAATGCTTTTGGAGACAACTGTAAATATTGAGAACAGGGGTGAATCAGTTGATAAGCGTGTATAAGATGTCTATACTTCAATTCTACACCCTTTTTGTTTTCTCTCCAATCGTCAGTGTAACTCAAAGATACTATCGTCAGTGTAGCTATAAAGCCCTTACACTAATAGTCCCTTTCACAGTTCCCTGCGCCATCTTGAAAGGTAGTCGTACCTTTGCATCGAAGCGAGACGAACGGCGAGCTTGCAATGATAGAGACATGTGAATAATTGTCCAAGGTGTTAAAAAAGGTCTCTATCATTGCAAGCTCATCGTTTGTCTCGCTTCGATGCAAAGGCACTGCTTCTTTCAAGATGGCTCAGGGAACTGTGAAAGGCGACTATTTTCTATCCCTTTCTTTTGATGATTAAAGTCTATATTGATATTTAAATTTTTTTCGCTTTTGTCCCCAAGGATGGGATTTAGTATAAGAGGGGAAAATTATCTTTATGATTTACCGGGATGTATGTAGCTTATTGCTCTATTCTCGCGTATGTAGCGCAGACAAAGCACACTGATGATGAGAGTAAACGTGCGCATTGTCGGCTAACGCTTCGTGGCCAAAATGAAAAGAACCAATTTAAAACCAGAAATAAACTACAGATAAATAAAGAGATACAAACTTAATTTCTATTAAATATTTTCTTAAAATTAAATGGTTGTCTATGTAAAGTCTTTTTTCATTTGGACGCAAGCGAGGACTTTAATAAAGAGCCAGAAATTAATTCTGAGGGTTAGGACACAGGGAAAGTTAAGTTCTTCTTTTGAGATTTGTTTTCGTTTTTAATAAAATTAAAAATAATAAGTTTGATGTTAAACGCGGGAAAAAAGGCATTTACAACGAACAAACATACAGAAAACTAACAGACAGTCAGCTACTACCCCTCAAATTTCTCAAGCTTGGAACCTGTGTACTCCAAACAGATGAAGCCTGGGTACGAGTTTGGAAAGTCAACAGCCGAGCAGCTGTACAGGTCAAGTGTCAGCAAGTGCTGTTTTGTGTGAACAATTTCATAGAAGATAGAGCTTTATTTTCAACAGTTGGGTATTGAGATACTTTGTATTGGGTTTGGCAAAGTGCTCTTGGAAGAAGAGAACGGCATGAAGGTAGGTTATGAAGTTATTTGTAAGAAAACTCTCGACTTTTTACTCCGTTGGTAAAAGTGCTTCCAGTTCACCAGTTTACATAAACTTTTAAGTTAAATTAGGCAGACATACTTATCCGTTTGATCGTAATGAGCTTCAAAGATAAAATTAGCGAATTAAATTACTGATAAATTCATAACTATGAGATTATGTAATGTTTTATTCACGATTTCGAAGTTTTTGCTCTACAACCAGAATATAACCACAGGAAGCCCACTTACGTAAGTTAACCTTCAATCTTATTTTGCATTGCTTAGCAATGAAATGTTAAAACAATGCTGCTTAATGTTCTTAAAATAAGTTTTAAACTTAAAAACTACATATATTACCCTTATGCATAAAAGTTATGCTTGGGCTACCTGTGGTTACATTTCTTTGCCTTAACAAATGGAGATGTGGATAACTCAAGGAAAATAAAGGAAAACTCCGCACATTTTCGTTATTTGAGATAAATATTACTGCCCGGTTCATGTAGACTACAATACCAAAATAGGTCAAAAGCACCAATACACTGACACAAAAAAATTCAAAAACGCAACCAGTGGAAACTGTTACGCCACGTCTGAAAGGATCCAGTCGATGATGCATAGATAATTATTATGCCTCCAGATTGGGATAGGCTGTTGAACCGTGATACAATCCCCTACTCTTACACGAATAATTCAACAGGTTCTTTTATGTCCCCACATACTGAATATACTACTACTATACTACTGAATAATGAAATAAGCAGTTTTTCTTGGAAATCTTTATTTCAATATCTAATTCGTATGTTTCAATACGTATAATTAATTAAATTTAATTAAATTTAATGAACAAATAGAAACTGGTATAAAGATAAATAGTGTTTTCAGTGTTACACTAGCCACTGTCATTACTGATGTCAAAGGCTTTGACAGCAGCCATAGTCTTTAGGTATTTTCTGTGTGTCCTCGACGCTTTCCCTGCTTYGTCCATCATCTTTGTTGCCTGTTCCATAAGCTCATCTAGTTTTGTCTTTTTTCCTGACTTCCTGAATAAATATTAAAAGCTGGCAAAAGCAAGATAAGAGCAACATTTAGCTAAGATAAACCACATTCCATTTGCTAGATGTGTAAAATCATACACTGTTTAATTATTTCTGCTTGTCATAGAAGACAAAAAAATAATATTCACAAGAGAATTTGATTTTCTGATTGGTTATTAAGGACATACAATCACAACGAAATATGTCACACGCAACAATATGAAGATAGTGTTCAGTGACCTTCAACATGGACTACCTTCCATTTCCAGAATTTATAAATGTAATTTCTACAGCAATTGTTTTTTTGATCAGGATTCTTGATCAGTATGCCGAAAATGAATTGCTTATTCCTCAACTGCCCATGCAGAATTTGATATTTGGGATAATATTACTTCTCAATGTGTTATCAATGCAGTCACACATCCCAGTACAGTCAGTCATCAGAGCCCTTTTCCTAATTCTAATTCGTGGCCTAAGACAAGAAGTATGGCCTCCTTTAGCCGAATACTCGACTCAATTTTGGACATTGACTGGAGAAACACCCATGAGCTTGGCCAGTATAGTCAACCGAGTTGCACGAGATGTGGTGTATTCATAATCCTAGGCAACCAAGGCAAAGAATTAGAGAAACTAGACCACCTGTGCTTAGCTTGAGAGATCGGATTTTGATGCTATTCATTTGGCTTCGTTCATATCTGACATTTTCTTCTCTAGGAATCATGTTTGGTGTAAGTGAGGCCACTGTAGCAGAGACTATACACACCGTTCTTTTTGATAGTTCTATTGCATTATGAGAGGCTTTATGTGAGATGGAATACTCAACAATCTTGGAACAGTCTGCGCAATACCTTTCCTGACTTCCCAAATGTTGTTGGGATAATGGATGCCACTCCCATTTGCATTAATAGGCCACAAGGAAACTTACAGCGAATGTACTATAGGAGAGATCGTTGATTCCATTTCATAAACTGGCAGGTGATAATAGATTGTGATGGGGTTTTCAGGTATGGTCAAGCAGGATTCATGGGACACCTGACGGATTCTGCCAGTTCCCACATGATGCCTCAAATTGGATATAAATGCTCTCTTTGTCTTCACCCACTTCTTGTACCATTTTCTAGGCGAGATGGGAGAAGACTCAATGCAGCGATGCAAATATACAACCAGCTACTGTCTTGTTATCGAGTGCGGGTTGAACATAGAATACATGATCTCAAGATATATCGATGCGTGTCCAGTCGTTTTCGACTTAGGCGTTATAGACTGTGTGCAGTTACTAACTTAGTGATGGCCCTTAGAAATAGAAGACGACGTCTCATTCATTTAACTGAGAAATCTTTAATAGCTCATTTGGGTCGGATTCATAAACTATCACATATTTGGTTAATGTTTTCAGTAAGTTCATCATCAATAAAGATATTTTCCTAGTTTGTACAAATTCGACATGCATACAAATACAATACTAAGTGTGGCGGTCCCGACCCTAATTAACTAGAGACGTTAACAGAGGACCACAAGTTTATCAGTTGAATTACTGTCAAGTGTTATCCTCTATAAACAAAGTTAATTAATTAATTAATTAATTAAATTACATAAATGCGAAATTTTGCCCTTTGTATTTCACATGCGAAAAACAAAGGATTCGAAAGAACAGAAAGAACTCTAATACAAAACTTTTAAATTTACTTTAAGCTCAAAAGATTATATATTCAATTAAATCTTATACCGCCTAAACGGATTTAAATTTATCATCGAAATGCAGCTAAAAGCAAGCTGAAACCACAAAAGTATTTACGGTAATACTTATCTATTATTCAACTATTTTTCCATCATTGACAAGCTTGTAAGGTTCAGTCCTGCTGAATGCTGCTCTCTGGCCATTTCTTCTTGCTTCTAACTTTTTTGGAATAAGCGGTTTCCACATTTCCAAAACTTTTCTTGGGAGATCAACTCCAATTCCAAAGCCATCTTTCTTATCAAGAAGGGAACGTTTTGAAAAGACGAATTCTCTTTCGGGGAAACGAAGAAAGCGTGCAATAATAAGCCTCGGTTTTCCAGGAACTTTTCTTCCAACACGGTGAACTCTTTGAAATTCTACTGAATAAGCATCTTTCATCTCTAACCTGTGACGGATTTGGGGGGTTCATTGAGTGCAAATGAGCCATCCCCCCCGGCTGGTACCTTGGATTTTTTATATTTTTTWAAATAGGTTATATAGGTTAGATAGGTTATCCTTATCAGGAGCGCCCCTAGGCCAGTGATGTGCCTCATGGGAAAAATGATGATGCAAGAGAACGTTATTGTTGTGCCGAGATTTGCAAAAATGAACCCCCCCCCCCCCCCCCCCTTAAAGTCCTGGATACGCCACTGCTAACTGTGAACCAAAGAATTCGTAAAGAACCCCTTTCGTATCCTCATGGTCTTCTTCTGGGATGCCGTAAAAACGAAGATTTTCTCGGCGGTTGTACGTCTCATAATCTAACAACTGTTTTTCAAGCTTATTTATTTCTTCCTTACAAGAATCATTGCTTCTTTCATTACGTCTTGTCTCCGCTTCTAAAGAGCTGCCTAAGAACTGTACACTCTTCTCTAGCTCACTTGTAGTTTTGGCACTTTGACCAAACTCAATTTTGAGACCACTGATTTCATTCTGCATCTGAGATATTGTAACGTTAATCAGACTTACAGAATCCTGCAAACTTTGGATCTGGGTCGTAATGGTTTCAAGTTTTTCTAATTTTGAAATTATCATATCCATCTTAGAAGCAAACGTTTGAGCCATATCCAAAGCAGAGATAACCTCGTCCGTTGCAACTGCTGCACTGGCGTCTCCTGTTTGCTCGTCACTCGAGTCCTGTTCCTGCTCTTTTTGCCTCTTCAACTCTGGCGACGCAGTTGTTTCAGTTGAACTTGTTGAGCTTATACTGCCCCTGACCTTTCTTTTAGGGAATAAAGTGGATTGCATATTTTTTGTAATAGTACACAATCAATTTACAGCTTTATGCTGCTGGAGCTCCAAAAAAACGTGTTCACTCCTTCATAACTCGACCCAGTCCTCCTCCCTTAACAAATAGGCTATATTTTAGGCAAATATTTTGTGGATCAGTTGACATTTTGTTCCACTCACTCATCCATGAGAAAATCTGAGAAGTAGTCAAACGAATACTTTCAGTGCTATTTTATTAACCTACCCACCCTCACCCCCACAGTAAACACATAAGAAGCACACTACATATACCATCGTGCTTGGATCGTACTTTTTTCAAAACTGTGGTCCCTGTTGATTGATTCATTTCTAAATTTACCAAACTGTTATAAGATTTTTTTTTTTTTGGTAGTTTTTAATTCATCATAGTTCAAAACTTTGTCATATTAATTAAGCTGTCATTACTTAATATTTATTTTTTGGACAGTTTTTAATTTATCATGATCAAAGTCTCATTCATATTAATTAAATCTTGGGCCTTTTTTATTGTTGAAATTCTTTGTTTATTTATTTATTCTAATTCAATTTTGATTTGAAAAGGTTAAAGTCTGGATTAGAAATACTTCATGGTGTTTTAAATTAATAATAAATAAAGTTTTCTTATTACTTTTTCAAAAAGAGGATATGGCTCAGTTCAAATTAAGTTTTATCTAAGCTCTTTATACCAGGTGACATCAGTATACTTAATAACTTAACTGTTGTTCCAAAACTTTCGCTCGGTTTCTGCCACGCGAGTGTCAAGAACAGTCTTTCTTTCATCCTTTTTTCTCTCTTTTTTATCATTATCCAAGTTCCTATGGATCTACACATATCATTACTGTAGAAGGTAAATCTATTCTGCAGCCACAAAGCAATGTTAAGCTTTCAACTCAGTTTCAACTTTCAAGTAAACACCCCTGACTTCGTATGAAGAAACCATGTATGATCCGAGCAAATACAAACTCGAATTTATATCCAAAGAGAAAGCCATATTTTGGTTGGCCAGTTTTACCCTGATGAGTTTTCTCATCGTTGCTCTAAACCTTGCCACCATTCTTACTTTCGTGTCCAACAGATACCTTCGACGTCGTAGCGTTTATTGCCTGATCAACTTAACCATTGCCGACTTACTGTACGGTATTACAGGGGCTGTCTATGGCTTCTGCGTCTATGGCTTTATCTCAATGAATCTAGACATGGATCCAACGTTTTCCATCTTTGTTTTCTTATGTATAGCGTGCACCTTTTTGGCTTCTGCACTTTCTTTAGCGATCGTGTCACTAGAGCGAGTTTGTGCTTTTTTCTTTCCATTTCGACATCGTGTGATAAGACAAAGAGTATACATTGGCGTATTTGTTGTCAGTTGGGTGATAGCTATCATTGCTACTTGGGTTTTTAAGGTTTTATCAAACCCGTCTGCCTTGATATTATTTTATTTCGTTGTGACTCTATCAGTCATTATCATTTTTTCTTCGTATGCCGCTATTTTCATCAAATTGAAGAAAAACAGTCCACAAGAATTCCAAAACCAGACATCTTTTTCTCAAAGAAGGCAAATCCAGGAGAAAAAGTTAGCAAAAACACTATTCATTGCTACTGCGTTGTCTATTATCACTTGTATGCCTTATGTTGCCTATCGATTCTCGTATCTTCACATGAACCAAGATACTTTGTTGCTTACGCACCCAAATGTCTACTCCCTCATGTATATATTTCAAAGAATGAACTCAGTGGTCAACCCAATTGTATATCTCTTCAGGATGAGAGATTTCAGAAAAGCCTTGTTTCAAGTAGTATTCAGATGTTCCTGTACTAGTAGAGTGAACGCATATCCAGTTGTACACCGCAACGAGATCATTTAATGGTCCTAGTTTTACGAAGGTAGCAATTTGAAGTTTTATAGTTTTTCGCTTCTTTCCATGGAAAAGTACGACAGTGCCTTCATCGTTAAGCTGCCATGCATCTTGACTTTTTTGCGATTATTATTATAAAAGATCTTATGTAGTGTTTGAACATTTCCGCTGTCCAGTACGTTTCCGTTCGGTTACAATATGCTTGAGTGCCTCTTTTCCTTGCCGTCATATTTACTACTATCTTTCCATGGACTTTCAAGTCAGTAAGGTAATTCCAATTCCCCGCCCTGAAATCGAAATTTCACAGATACAATCGCTATAGTAGTCTGGAAAGGCTGGAACATTGCTTATAACCCATTGAAATTACTATGGTTATGAACTGATTTTCTACCATGGGATTATTTCGGACAACGATGGAAAAGCAATATTCGTGAAGATTATAATCGGATGATGACGAACAAGGGTTGCACTTTCGCGATCAGTTGCAATTGTTATGACGTAGATAATGACGACTTTAATTTGATATTGATAAAAATAATCTAGTCTTTTAACGTCAACACTTGAAAATCGCACTTTTAAAAAGTCAAGAAGACTTTCAAGACTGAAAAATTATAATATTTGGTCCAAGGTCAACCAAAATTCAAAAATACTGTTAGAGATTTAAACAAAGAAACCTGCGCAGAACATGCGTACGAGAATTAGAATACGCCCAGGGTGTCTGTTCCTCTACAAAATAGATAACTTGGCGCAGCAATGTCTAAGTTTGTTCTGATCATTAATAGCGAGCCAATCAGTGCAGCGCACGAGTGGTATTCGTTCTTCAAATTCCAAACAAATAATGTATAAGTGTACAGTTTGCCATATATTAAAAACGTAAAAATATTACATAATACCTACTTGCAAGAAGGTTGTCATGCAAGAATAGAACATTTGTAATGTAGTGAAGTAGTGATTTAGTAAATTTACCGATTATGAATAAGTATCACTGACGTCAGACTTGGGTCACCCAATCAGATCATAGTAACAGATCAGAAATGCCAGGCAGCGCTAGAATCGGCGTAGTTTTAGTGTGAGTTTTCCTAGTCTAAAGGGAAATCCTTTTAGTATTGTTATTATGTCAACCTATCTGTTTACTGCATGATAGCCACAATGTTACACGAGCAGTAACGTACAAAAACAAATACTGATCTTATTTTTTATTTATTCATTTTCGTTTTAACTTT